CGTCAAAAGGTACTCAAATCGCCTCCAGTTACTGTATGTTACCCTTTAAATTTTTTGTCTGTGCTAATAAATAGACTTTGCCTTTGGCTGTTTTAGCACTCTAGTGCTAAGAAAAACTATTGAAGATAACCTGAGAGTATATGAGATTCTTACAGCTACAGTTAAAATTACTTTTAGTATCCGCACACATTCGAATTTGACGTTATATACGTTACAAACTATGAGTGTATAATATTGGGGTTTTGAGACATACATGCACAGCTCATGTATTATTGTTTGCTTGACTTCACTTGTATAGAGAGTAGTCTATATGATTCTCATATTCTGCATGAAGAGGAGCTTCGACAATCAACATCACTTTCTCTACACTTTTTCACGTCACATTAAGTTTTATGACATAAAGCTCACTTAATGATCGAACTTATGTTTAGAGTCATTTATAGGTGGGTCGGTGACACAGCGGTTAGGACTCTCGCCGACCATGCACATGGTCCGAGGTTCGATCCTCCGCCGACGCACACCTGATATCTATGGTTGGCCTACTAAATTTGGGCTACCGATATCACATGCTGAAAATTTCATACTTGTACCAAAATACTGTGTGGAATCAAGCTATAATAAAATAAAATAAAAAAATAAAGAATAGATTAGGTGCAAACACGCATGAGAATTATTTGGATGAAGGAAAAAGGTTGTGCGAGTAACTTGGCATGATGATGAGCAGTAATAAATTGTGCTCGAAACTCGGTCATTAGTTAATATTACTGCATAACACAGTGTGATTTATCAAAGTAAAATCTTATCCATAATGGAGTTATACTCTACCACAGTGGTCAATTTTTATACTTATGTTAATTATTTGGATGCATGCTAATTTCTTATCGCGGTTGCATATTATATAATACCAGTCAACTAATATGGATAATGTGAGAGATGATTTCTGTTGAATAGTATCTCGCTTCCTAGAAAAGTCTAGTATTTAAGTGAGGATGAGATGTTAACTATCTTGAAGACATTAACAGAAAGATGAAAACAGTCAGAAAGTAATTCTATATTAGATAAGTTTATTTTAATAGAGTCGCACAGTTATAGGAAACCGACGCACGCACTCATCCCATCCAGAATCGGTAAAGATACGTTTAGTTAAATGTCTGTATAATCGGGCTAAGAGCCTAACCAGTAAGCTAGAAATCAAACAAATAAGGGAAATATTACTAGTGAATAACTACCCACTAGGATTTATTCAGTATGCCCGGCGCTCTTCACCGGGTTGACTGTCCATTGGATGACAGTCTAGGGGAGATGGCTAAACCCTGATTCCAAACCTCCAACGACTGGCGTATGAAGCTCACTGGAGCTCACCGGCAGACGTATGGACAAAGGGCTTGTTGGATGTCCTGGACGTCTGGCCCCATTCAAAAAGGCGTATGAACCGAACTCCGGTCACCGGCTGCCAATGGATAGTGGACTCCCTACTCCACTCCTACTGCCTTGTAGGTCACACTTGGTTGTGTAAAGGCTAGAGCTGCACTCTCAAACAGAAGGGCGAGCGATTCTGGGGACATCACTCGTACCAAATTCCCATGAAACTTCATGAACTCTCTTACAAACGACTCTCACCATGCTACGGCGTTCCCGGTAAGCGACGCGCCCTCGCCATTACCATCTTGGCGATGTCGCAGGGGTGGACGGCTGAAAACATAGCTTGGTACAGTCAAGGCTGATATGGAGTGCCTGGGGCTACAAACCGTCTACGGACTCTGTCTGTGGAACAAGAATTGGATAACCCTGTCGCAAAACCTTGCATCAGATCGCCGCGCCTGGACAGCGATGATTCGAGATGTTCATGAAGCCGGCTCATCCTCCCGTAGGAGATAGCCGAAGTAAAGTAAAGTAGGTAGTATTGTATGAAGAACCATTGAGAAACTAAGATTAGCAATAAAAATGGCGAAAATAATATAGAAATCAAAGCCTGTGTAGCACTGCCGTATAAAGAAAGGACGTCAGAGGCCTTACGTTGGATTCTCAATGACGCTGGAATTAGTCAGGGTGGTATTTAAACCAACCAACCAACTCTCTCAGCGATAAACTTTGTAGGCTTAAGGACTCAACAGATCCAATTAAAAAAACAACAATATAATTTACCAAATACCATGTAATGACTGTGAGGTCAGTTACATACACCAGTCAAACTAGTAGATCGGGGTCAACTAGATTATTGGAACATAGAAATTTAGCTAGACCTAAAATGATGATTGACCCTGCAAAGTTAAATAACCTAGAAAAAAGCAGAGCTCAGCCATTCACCTGCATGTAATCACACCATGGGTTGAGTGGGACAGGGTGAGAATATTAAAAAGTAATATGGTTAGGTGGAGAGACAGAGAGGTTAATCACTGAAGCTTTGTTTATCAATTCAACACCGCACACATGCAGTCAATTGGAATGGCGTAACGCCTATACTGGAGATGTAGAAAGTGGCAGCAAACAACAAAGGGAGTTTGAAGAGAGAGGCAGAATAGAGAGAGAATATATATAAGACAAATTGTGAAAGAAATACTACCAGGGAATTTCTAGAATCCTGGTACTCAAGTGAATCAGCCAGCAATTAAAAAACACACATTACTATAGACCAAGTTTATCAGCTAATAAGAGGTAAATTACACGACAAGAAAGTTCCATTGGACGCTAGTAACTAGTGTGATGTGTCTAGTCCTTTCTTTGTTGCCGACTGTATTCTATCAGTCAGGTTTGCAACGTGGCCACCATTCAGTGGTATCGTCTCTGACTGCTGGCGGCATTGGGTGACGCGGGTTCGAATCTCAGAAGGGACATGAGTTCCTTCAAGGTTGCAAATACTCCTTAGTGACTGGTGAGTGCCAACTAGCACGAAACGTAGGTCTGGCAAGGCTTCCTGTGGCCGATTGCCTCCAATCATCTAAGAAAGTTCGAATTAAAAAAATGATCTATAGAGACGTGAATTAACAACCAGTCACGACAGTGGTTGACAGGAGATACAATCATGGAGAACTGAAATAAGTTTCTTTTTATACTAAAACCTGCGCTGAATTGATGCTATGTAGAAAGGGGACGACAAAGATTTCATAAATAAATCAACCAACTCCTGTAAAAACACAACTAACTCAACATCATCTACCTGAGCTACAAATCTCCTCCATTGCACAAATCATGGAGTTATTGTTCGCTCTTAGGAATAATCGATTGAGAGTTGTCAATGAGGCTGAAATGATGAGAACTCCGAGCTTGGATTGATTACCTCAAGCTATTTAGAACAACAAAATATTATGCAACACTACTGCTAGATGTTTTTATGAAAGTAAAACTTTTCAAATAAGTCTACTATACAAAGTCGTTATGATATATGACCCTGTAACCCAATTTTTGTTGAACTCTTACTGTGATTGGATACTAGTCAGTAACTAGTGTAATGTGTTGTGTGCGTGTCTAGTCCTTTCTTTGGTGCAGACTGAATTCTATCAGTCAAGTTTGCAGTGTGGCCACCATGCCACTAGGTGTCTCGCCATCACGGTGCACTGTGAATTGTTGGTATTCGATGGTTGGAAGTAACAGGCCACAGGAAGCCTTGCTCCACTTAGGTTTCGTGCTAGTTGGCACTCTTACTGTGTAAGCAAACCGAGACAGTGCAGTTTTTTTTAAGTTTTTCATATTTTGAAATGATAAAGGGAATTTGTAGCTCAGTTGATGTTTTTGATGTGGTTATTTTGTCTGAGCTTTGCAATTCAACCATTCGGTGTAGAGAATACAACCATATTAAAAAGTTTTTCATAATTTGAATAAAGATTGAGCAAACATATTTGCAGATAGGATAATACGAGCTCGTATTATTTCGTAGGGGATTCTCTTCAGCTGCGCACATCCTAAATAAATCAATTATATTTTACAAAGTGGTTTCTGAACATACTTCTTACAGTGATTTCAAGTTACAGACAGAAAGTATAGGCAATATAATTCCAAAGGTTGATATAAGTAGACGAATTGCTCAGTGTTAAAAGAGTAACCATTGATATAGTAATTAGACAGAGCGGTGGAATTCAGATTTCGCTTGTCAACAAGGATGGAGTAGAGACAAATTACAAGATAAAACAACAGAGTCAATTGATACATATTATGGTGGAGAGTTCAGGAGGGTGGTGGTGGGGTGAATAGTGAAGTAAAATTATAAAATAAATAAAATAATTTAATTTTGTAATATTTGCAAACTTAACAGTGAGTTCAACTCAGTGAGTGAAAATCAAAATCAAGATTGAGTGGAATGTTATGTATGCAACAGAACAAAACACAGAGGGCACACGAACAAAAATTATGGTTATCAGGGTAGTGAGAGATTAGTCACACTATCTTTCTGTATGCATAGGTTGGGTCAAAGTCTTTTGATGGTGGCAATAGTTTCCTTGAACCGAAGTAACCATGCTTTTCTTTTCTTTGTGTATTGATTATTTTGAAAGCCTGACTAATTTCCACTGTATGTCCCGTGTCAGTCAACGAGGCGTTTGGCGACTGTGCTTGAGAACGCTTTGCTGCCTTTCATAGGGGAAAACTTTTAGGGTTATGCTCGGAGAATCTAGTAGACGCTCTCCTCTTCTAGGTCCTTCCTATGTACTTGCTGCCGCAGCAAGTGCAGGAGAATTGGTAAATGCAGTTGGGGTTAGCATACAGAGGAGGACACTTATCTACTTTTCATAGTTCTTTCTTGAAAATGCTCATTACCTGTGTATATGTCATAGAGCAACGTGCCACATATGACCCAACTTTCTAGCATTTTGTTGCCGTACTACTAATAAGTAGTACAGTGGAGGTAGTGTAAATGTTTTACCTCACATTTTTCTATATTATCTGAAATGTTACGGAAGTTATAATACTGTGCTATCAACACAATCATGGATTACAAAAGCTATTCTTATTATTATTACTTAAATTTGACACTCTGTTTATTGATTTTTTTTGTTTGTTTGTTCTAGGGCTGCTGCTATGTCATTACGTACTATACTTTTGTCTATACAAGCGTTATTAGCTTCCCCAGAACCAGATGATCCACAAGATGCAGTGGTAGCGAATCAGTACAAGACAAGCATAGAAGCTTTTAATCGTACTGCACGCCACTGGGCAGCTATCTATGCCAATGGACCTGGATGTGATCCTCAGTGTGTTGATTTGGTGGGTAAACTTGTTCAAATGGGTTTTGATGAGGTGAGCACTATGTATTATTATAAAAGACTCGATGGTGGTTGTGGTAATTGGCTCATGTTTTTAAATCCATTCATGTATTGTGTTGTATGATACCTTGCATACTTTTGATTACATTTGACTGTAATAATTATTATAACAATGAGGAGTGTGTGTCCAGAACACACAACCGGTGGCAGATGTATTCATGGATAGGTGGGAAAACTTAGCGATTGAAACGTTCAGCCCCACCCGAAAAGTATAGGGGAGGTATGTAGATGATACATTCACTGTACATTTCGAACACAGGATATTAGATAGATTTTTCGAACACATTATAACTCAAAGGTGGAGGCAATTCAATTCACTTATGAATTGGAAAGTCAGAAAGAGGAGCTTCCAATGTTAGGTGGTAGTGTAAAAAGGAAAGAAGAAGGGAAGTTAAACACTAGTGTTTAAAGGAAACCCATACATTCAAACCAATATTTGGATTTCCGATCATCTCATTCTAAGTCAGCAAAAATAAGATTCGTGGAACATCTAAGTAACAGGAGACAAAAACTAAGTATTACCAAGGAAAATCTAAGACAGGAAGTGAAGCATATAAAAGAAGCTTTGAAACTTAATAATTACCCTGAAAAATTAATCCGGAAGTATGTAGGGAAATGTAAAGGTAAAATTAATAATAATAATAGTAGTGATAGTGATGATAATAATGATATTAATGACGAGATGCATGTCAAACATGCACAGGATAATGACAACACCAACAATAGGGAATGTAAATCATCACTAGTACTTCTATACAAAGAAGGAACCTCGGAAACCTTACGCAGAATTCTTAACAAGGCAAGAATAAAAGTGGCTGGCATTCAAACCCACAAACTCAATTAGAAACAAGCTTTGTCGGTTAAAGGATCTTGTGGAGCCTTTAAAACAAAAGAATTTAGTTCATCTAACATCCTGCCGAAATCATTGTCGGGTCAAATATACGGGTAGAGGTAGTAGGCAGTCAGACTAGTGGAGCACAAAAACCTAGCCGCGAAATCTAGATTAGTTTACCCTCATAATAAGATAAGAAATCTAGAGAATATTTCAGCTATAGCACTACATGCAGTTGCACACAACCATACACTAGGATGGGATAGGATGAAAGTTTTAAAATCTAATGTCACAGGGTATAGGGAAGGAAATGCGTGTAATAGGAATGATTCAACACCTGTCCAGTCGGACATCTGGAAAATTCTACTGCTACTCCAACGACGACAAATAGGAGAGAACAAAGAAGACTATAAAACTCAAGTTTCGAAGTCGTGTGATTATAATTGATGAAATGATTATGAGCAGCAATAAATTGTGTTCGAAACGTCATCATCCAATAAGTAGAGATAATACTGTTCCACTGTGTGATATATCTAATAAACAAACTAATATGGAATTGATTAAATCGAACTTTAATAATCATTATAACCAATGAAGAGGAGTGTGTGTCCACGTTAGAGTTTTTACATTGATCTACTTCCTACTGACAGTCAAGAAGGTGTGAATACTGATCAGTGCTATTTAATATCTACAGAATTTATTTTCGTCAATGTTATTCTTGTAACCATTACATGGAAAGGAATGGATAGCCTGAATCCACACAAACTACTAAAGTTGCCTACAGTTGAATTGCGTTGCTTTGATCACATTAGACCATGGGCCGACTGTGGCGCGGTACAGTATTCATCATGCCGACTGGTAATGACTAACTAACTGACTGGTTTCAACATTGAACATTGCACAGATGTGCAGAAGTTCCACTGGCTACACTCCCTCATTGTAGCACACAAAGCAAGAGAAGAGAGCCACAGAATTTTATTGGATATGACGAATCACAAAGAGTGAATGCATCTCCGCTGTCATTGAGAACGACTGTGAGCCGTAACATCAATTGTCTGCAGCCACCAGTGGTTTTTACCATCCCGAGGATCACGACCAGACAGACACGTAGTCTACACCTCCCTACGTGACTGACTGTCTGAAACTAACTGTAGTGGATTTGATTGACTGATGAAGTCGTGTTTTGGTTTGACCACAATGTGCTAGCTCTTTTCCAACCTGATCAATCCTATGTCACTCAGCTAACACTGCCCATCATCGAGGAAGGCGATCGTTCGATGGCCACTCGTGTATGTGTAACTCACGTCTTAACCACCTCAATCGAACTAACTTCACAACTACCTCGTCGATGGATTTCCTCCCTCCCCCACCTAACTAGCACTCGAACACCGATACCTAACGTCAACATTGCTCACTCTATTATACCACCACCTAACACACACAGAAGATACGACGCAGACACCTGTGATCATGTCTTCCACTTTCAATAGCCATGTTTCGCTCACAGCTATAAAGGAAAACTGAGCGAAGTGCTGCTGAACAGTATACATGTCCTTTGATCGACACTTGGATATCACGTCTACTAAGCTAGAAATGGAGTAATTTGACATATACCAAACGAGCCTTCTGTACCCGTGCTGAGATTCCGTCAGCGATCAACCCGTTGATTGGGCTGGCCGTTGCAACTTCCCCCCCCCCAAATAAGTGAAGTGGTCAACATGCCCCACCAACCACTTCACCACCTCCCTATCTTTAAGCTAGGAGTGAGTCGATGTAGTCCAGTCCAATGCAGTCCTGTAGCAGCATCTTGCATTTGACAGCAGGAGTGAATCGCATGCCAAACTTTCAAAGATTGCTCATTGCTCAAGGTATTCAGAAGACTGCTGTTTTGTCAGCGTCTTCACCTAGGAAAGAGGATTATGTCATCTGCACTATTGTAAGTCAACCAGATTAGATCTTGGTAACGAGTCAATCCCTGAGTCGCTGAATGTCAGTTAGGGTTAAGTCCATGAGTAGTATATCTATGATGAAATTAAACAGATTCGTATTATTAGCAAAAAAAGATGTAACACAGTTGCCTGCAGACATTTAAAACATAATTATTCTCTGAGTTTACAGTGTGTGTGTAATTTGCTGTGCAATATATAGTAAAGGTATTCATCCACAGAACTTTGATACGTCAAAGATTGTACAAGAACACTATCCTGCATGGTTACGAAGAGGTGGAGGTGGAGCAATCAGAAACGCGATTATCCACATCCTCCGCCTTTAAAGTCATGTACAAGGTGAAAAGTAATTTGCCCAAATCACTACGAATCCGACTCATCTGTATTGCTGAAGCCATCTTTTGCCATCGAAATAGAGAAGCCAGTTCTCTGTATACAAAAAAATTCGTTCAACCCCCCTCCAACTTTCATGGTCTTAATCCCTCTATGCTAAAGTATGATAATCCCCACTTCATATTTTTGCTCTCCTCATTTTTCGTTTTATCTACTCAATTTGTATACTCTACTTTCATTACGTCAATTGTTACCATTATTACTAGTCGCACTTTGAATTGTCCCCGGTATTGTTTCACTCGTTCCACTTGTCAGTCTAAATCAATTTTCAACTTAGGTCAGCGTAGCAACAGAGGTAATTACAGGTAGAGACTAAGTAGAGGTGGGGTAGAGAATAATACCATTTAAATTAAGACTAAAGTTGAGCAAATAAATCGGATAACGTAACATAAATGACTACAAATTGAGCGTTGGTCAAGTCAGTAACAGTGGTAGTGAGGTGCAGAAATTAAATCGGGTGGGGGTAGGGAACAAGAAGGTTGAAAATGTAAAATATTACAATTGAGAAGACAAAATAATACTAATGAAGAGACAGAAAGAAATAGAATTTACCTGTCGGGTATCAAGATAGATTACGTCCATTGCAAGTGTAGTGATTGAACGAACTTCTTCTATATGCAGAGTTCAGGACTTAGCAAGTGAATCGCCATTGCCTCTGCAGTTTGAAGAAGTCTGATTCGTACACCTTTAGGAAGACTACTACGTATTCTGTAGACGACACCCCAAACAAACTTCAAAATCGTCTACAGAGTAAGAAGTAGTCTTCCTAAAGGTGTACCAATCAGACTTCTTCAAACTGCAGAAGCAATGGCGATTCACTTGCTAAGTGCTGAACTCTGCATATAGAAGAAGTTCGTTCAATCACTACACTTGCAATGGACGTAATCTATCTTGATACCCGACAGGTAAATTCTATTTCTTTCTGTCTCTTCATTAGTATTATTTTGTCTTCTCAATTGTAATATTTTACATTTTCAACCTTCTTGTTCTCTACCCCCACCCGATTTAATTTCTGCACCTCACTACCACTGTTACTGACTTGACCAACGCTCAATTTGTAGTCATTTATGTTACGTTATCCGATTTATTTGCTCAATTTCAGTTCTAATTTAAATCAATTTTGTTTTGCAATTCCATGTTATCGAATTTCACACAATGTTACGTAACGCTTTTATTTTATTCCATTTGCCTGCTCTACTAATCCTATAATTTCACACTCATTTGTAAGTTCGATACCTCCTAATAATTGTTCTACACACATGACATTTAACTTCGGTAAGTAATCATTAATAATGATAGCTTAGTTCCCCATCCTAATTTATTGTTATTATTGTTATTATCAACATGAAGTTCTGTTGCTTAATGTTTCCTTTTTTCATCATATTCTTCTAGCATGAAGCTTGTCGAGCGTTATCAATGAAAAATTGGGATATAGCCATGGCAACAGAACACTTAATTAAATGAATCAAAAAAATAAATAAATAAATAAAAGAAACGGGTGGTTATATTTAGTAGTTATATAAATTATTGTGTAACTAATTGTTTGTTATTGGTTGTACACATGCACGCATATGCTTGTGCATATACGCTTCATATTTCTGTTTATGCTCTATCTCTTCGACTGTCTATCTTCTATTATTTTCCTACACATGCCTCCGCCTCCGGCCACCCCACCCCACACATCCCTTACATACACACACACACACTCACCCATGCAACACAAGTTATAAAGAATAACTCTGAGGGGGAATTGATCAACTCTTCCAGTATGTGTGGTGTGGCGGTATATCTCTTTGTATAAAATAATAATAATAATGAATAAAATAACATCTACTTTTACTTGGAAGACCTTCATCACGTTTTCCTGCTTTCTAACCATCTTGGTTCTACAACCTAATGTTGTTGTTGTCGTTAGTCTTGCCGATGTTTATGATTTCAATGGTACTGCTGCTTCTGGTGGTCGTGGTGATGTTTTGAAAACGGTGTTTCCATTTTTGGTTTTTATGCCTAATTTTCATGTTGTCCCTGTTGTGTTTCTTCTCTCTCCTTTTCTTTGTTTCTTTGTGTGTGTGTGTGTGTGTTTCATGTTTTCAGGTGAACCGTGAATGAGATCTGCTCTCTTTACCTTACACTTTTTGCAGCCTTGAACACAGACGATGTATAATATAAAATTGGTAAAGTTTAGTCTCGTTTTGTTGAAAACATACACGCACACACAATGTTTGCCATGTGATTTGCTCCTGCTGTCAAATGTTAGATGAGAGGTGTTGGTGGCGCGTGTTGACCACTTCACTTATTTGAGGGGGGGAAGTTGTATCAGCCAGCCCCATCAGCGGGTTGATCGTTGACGGAATTTCAACACGGATACAGAAGGCTCGTTTGGCATATGTGTCTACCAACATACGCCATCTCTGGCTCAGTAGACTTGATATCCGGCTGGCTGGTTATGGAGCAAAGGACGTGTATACTGCTCAGCACCACTTCTCTCTGACCTCCTTTATGGCTGTGAGCGAAACATGGCCATTGAAAGTGGAAGATATGAAAAGCCTGGCTGGCTAGCTACCTTCGATCATAAATGCCTGCGTTCTATCACCCGTGCGTGTTAGGTGGTGGTATAATAAGGTGAGTAATATTGAGGTTAGGTATCGGTGGTCGAGTGCTAGGTAGGTGGAAGGGGAAATCAATCGACGAGGTGGTTGTGAAGCTACTACATCGATTGAGATCGTCAAGACATGTGTTACGCATACCACCGAGCCATCGATGGCCTTCCTGGATGACGGGCAATGTTAGCTGGCTGACGTAGGATGGATCAGGCTGGAAAACAGTTGGCTATTGGTGATCAAACCAAAACATGGCTTCATCAGTCAATAAAATCCACAACAGTTAGTTTAAGCCAGCCGGTCACTTCGGGAGGTGTGGACTTCCTGACTAGTTGCAGTCCTCGGGATGGTAAACACCAATGACAGTTGGAGACAATTGGTGATATGGCTCAAAATCATTGTGCTCAATGAGAGCCGGGAGATGCATTCACTCTTTGTGATTTATTATATCCAATGGAACTCTATTATTCTTGTATATTACTATTCTTTTTCACTCGCTCACACTTCTGTTTATTGTTTCTCTCTCTCTCTCTTCAATCTCCGTTTACTGTCTTCTCTTGCTTTGTTTGCTACAAGGAAGGAGTGTGTCAACTTGAACTGCTGCACGTATGTGCAAAGTTCTATGCTGAAACCAGTCAGTTAGTCAGTCAGAGGTAGTATTAAAAATACGTCAGTGTTTTCATCGTTACAGCACTGAGTGTTACTCATAGTACAATTAGACTAGCTAGATGATTGTAGACGAAAAGGCAAAACAAGAGCAGTTTTGCAAAATAAAATACATTTAGAAAAGTAAGAAAACAGCCTATTTATATCTCATGTTTATATAATTGTGTTCTGTTAGAAGTATTGACATTACGTCAAGCGGGGAAATCATGATTTCTGTCCTAGTAATTGTTATGTTTTTAAGTGACATCATCATCCTGTAGATTGATTGCTTTATAAGTGATATGTAACTTCAGTGGACGTTCTGCTACTACCTTGAAAATTCGTGTAAATGTGATATGACTGTACTGCTGTTTACGACAAGTCTTTATACCCGTGTTTGCCTTCAGTGTGTTTTGCATTATGTGGGATAAGCGTATATTATTACTCCCTTGGGTCCCGAGTGGAACATAGCGCTTCAAAAACACATGTCCACTTTGTTCTATTTTCTGCTCTCCTCATCAGCCGGATGATCACACGATTGTCCATAATCTCTCATCTCCACCACGTCACCATCTCATTGACGACCCACTCCTCGTTTCTCATTCAGGTTCCACTCGAGCGATGTTGTTCGATAGCCTCCTCAATTTGTGCCCAATCCATCTGCATTTTCTCCTACATATTTGTTGAGCTCTCAAAGTCTTGGTTGGTTTGTTCCACTACAGAGTTTCTTGTTGCTAAATTTTTCTGGCTGGCCAGCTGGCCATTCGATCTTCACTATGGAGCTGGCGAAGGCAGCTGTTGATAAGTCTGTGATGGCCTGTTAAAATGCTTTTTGTGACACGCAGTGTAAGTTTCTGACCCATATAGAAGAACTGACTGACTTCACATTTGTGTTGAACAGAATCCGAATCCTGTTGTTTAGTCCGAGGCTGAGTGAGAGGAGATTTCCAAACAGGTTTCAGGTTACCTTTCCGATCCTGTGTGGCATTGACATCTTCATCCGTTCCGACTGCCTGTGGTTGAAACGATGCTGCCTACCTAGATAAGTGACCTCTATCAAGATTCTCCTGTTGACAGTGATTGGTGCTGGTTGTTGTTGTTGCTTTTGGTTGGTCGGTTATCTTCATCACTTCCGTCTTCTCTATGTTCATCTGAAGTCCTGTCTTCCAGGTAATATATATGTATATATATAACACATATTTGTGAACCTTAACACACCCACGCTTATTACCTGCCTCGCTACGCACGAAGTATTTTTGCTGAGTAACAGTTCCTCCCTGTCTTAGCTCAGGTGAGTATTCATTTTGATGATTGAAAAGTTCTTCATTACAGCATCTATATGTATCGATTAGGGATTGTATTTTGAGATAAACTGACTGTGAAAATCAGTGATGCTCGGTAACTAGTGAAACTTTGATCCATAATGTGACCTTTACATGTAATTCTCTGGTTGGTTGTTAGGTGCTTAAGTCAGTTGAACGTCGTCGGCTTGACTGGTAGTATTCGGCGTGTTACCTTTTGAGAATTAGACAGCAAAGCATTCGTGTTATACCATTCACTAACTGGACAACAGCATTTTTTAAAAATTCCTTAGCTCATCTACACTGTGATTTCACCTGAAGTTCTCTTCTTGACATGATTGAATTGTCCAGTATGTTTTCGGTAGAAGCTTTTATCGTGGATCAGTATATCCTGGATTACCCCTGGTATTTGTGTGTATCAGTTTTAGTTGCGTCACCAAAAACCAATCGATCGTATAGAAAGCCCTTTCCGCTCATATATCAGTGCAAACTGCTAAACGATAGATGGAGAATCATAAGTACTAAACCAAAAAAGTAAGTATTCCGGCTGGTCGCTGTCTTTATATGCAGCAAAGGAACACAGGGATAATCATGTCGCTCGTTTGCTTGCTTACCACCTGAACAGTAATGTCTTTCGGTAGAAGCTTGTGTATTGTTATTAATTTGGAGAGTGAACCTCGGGTGCTTTTTGTACATAGATTTCCGTATTCATATGTGTTAAGTTACTTGCCTTAATGTAGGACTTTTATCCAGAGCTCGATAGTATCTATGCCGAATACAATTCCAGGGTAAAATAGTTTCGTAAGAAAAAGACGAAAACAGTGAAGAAAATTTTCTTTTCAACTCATAATAATGGTAAACTTATATAAAAAGAAGCAAAATTATAGTGAGAACGTTGCTCTGACCACAGTAGGGCGAGTGGATGTATGTGGTGCTTTTGAATGCAGAGGTCCGTTTCAGATCTCCCCGAATAGCCAATGTTTTGGCTATGTTCACGTGGCGTACGCGAAGTCCTTTCGAACGATATTGAGGGACTATGTGTAGTACTGAGTCATTCCAGTGGGGGCGCTAGATGTCCATAGTGTTGACAAGGTGTTTAAGTATAAAGCTGTTAGTACTCTCCTTTTCTCCTCTGGCTAGCTAGCCAGTCTGAACAATGTCCCAGACTGCGTTTGCAGACTCCACTTTGCGTATGGCTGATAGACTTTGCTCCACACGAACAAGCATGTAAATTGATAAATACACATTGAGATGAACAAAAGCGGTATCTTATCCTTAACGTACAAGAATATGTAGATTACTGGCCGTGGTCTAGGTTACGTCATAGTGAAGTAGCAGCTGGTCAACACGCCTTCAAATTCACTTCTTTACTGAACCAAATATCCCTACATTGAGTCATAAGAAAGGGAAAAAGATGTAAACAGCGAAGAAAATTTTCCCTTTTCGACGATTCATTTTCATAAGCTGCTGTACAATCGTAATTATATTGGATTTTACGAGTTCGACTACGGATTGATATCAATTAGAGAACCATTGAAAACCAGCACTGGAGTACTGGACAGCTAGTTTGGGAATCATCGGCAGTTTGCACCCACCAACAGGGTTTGACTCCAGGACCTTCCAGTTACAAGGCAAGCTGGCTCATATACCATTCAGCCACTGGGACCCGATTTAAAACAAAACTAACCCTTACAAACCAACTATAGAAATTTAATCTGATGCTCACTAGTGACTTGCTACAGGATGGAGTTCTAGTGAGAAGTCGTGACCAGTGAGGTCCATCCAGTCACGTATGAGGATGGATGTTCCAGCGATGACATTGGTTGGGGTCGCGCTAAATCACGAATTGGTAGAAGTTAGAATTCGAGGGCTGGCCATTGGATCGGGTCCCAGTGGGTGGATGGTGTACCAGCTTGCCTTGTAACCGGAAGGTCCTGGCGTACTGCCGATGACTCCCAAACTAGAATGAAACAGCTGTCCAGTACTTCATTGCTAGTTTCGAATGGTTCTCTAATTGATATCAATCCGTGATCAACTCGTAAAAACAAAACTAACCCTTAAGAAGCAACTATAGTGACTATATTGAACAAAGAATTCATAAGACAACCAATAGAATACTGGTAAAAATTTATCCCCGAAACTGTATTACGTGACATAAGGTGTAATCTAGAAGGGGGTGACTAACTGCAAATTAGAAAAGGGGGGGCAGAAGTTGGCATAACGTAATAAGTGTGAGAAAATGGCTACCCTCTCGTATCAACATCCGATTCCACTGAACGCTTTTTGTATTACGTAACTGCACCAAGAATTTACTAATTTTCATCCCCTCAATTACAACAAATGTATCTTCGTTTGAAAAATTTAATGCACACACACGAAATAACCATATATATTTGTGATTGTACAGCTGTGAAAATGAATTCTCCGAAAGGAGACTCTTCGTTGAACTACTGGTCTTCTCTCTAGGAAATGACTAATCAATATAATTGTGTAGAGTGGACAAGAATTAGTGGAAAGACGACAATGTGTTTTAATAAAATTCGTATGAAAATGAAATTTTACTGATAAACAGTAATAGAGTGAGAAGATAAGGTTAGTTATGATAGGTTGGAGGATTTCATCATAAGCTGA